CCCTTCTGATTCTTGCCTATGCCCATCCCGCAACTGGACCCCGAATTTCCCGGTCTTGTCCGGGTTCAGCCGGAGTAGTGACACTAATGAAGATGAGACAACATTGTGACTGGCGCCACTATCTATCAATACCGTCACCGTGCACCCCTCAATCACTCCACGGAGCCTCATCGTCTGAGGGCTGAAGATTCCAGCCATAGCATATACTGGAAAATCGCCGTCATTGCCGTCGGAATTGTCGTTATTCTCTGGGAATTCCTCCTGCCCTGTTACCTCAAAATAATCATGTTGTTGCAGGTCCAATTCTTCATCTTCCTCAGCTAGCATCACCCTTAATTGTTTAAAGGGGCAGTCATGTCCCGGTGTGAATGGTTTCCGGCACTTGAAGCATAATCCCTTTGCCCGCAGCTCTTCTAACACCTTTGGGGGAAGCCTGGTGAACCTGGAACGTGCGGTGGACTGCCCAGACAGCCCTGAAGTGGGCCCCACAGCCGGTGAAGATGTCCCCACAGTCTGTCCAGTGGCCTTCGTGAGGCTGCCACTGGAGTTGCGCGAGCTGCCGCCATTAGCAGTTGGCGGGTGGCCCGTGTAGGGTCGGGAATAGCTGCTGGAACGTGACCCTGTGGGATATAGTTTGGACCTCCTCTTCCTCCGTTCTGAATGGACAGGTTATGCTCCACATCTCGAGCTAATTCCATGGCCGCTTCAAGGTTATCCGGCCGAAATAAGCGCAACGAGCTTCGGATTGCTTCTTTAAGTCCACTCATGTAGTAGCCAAGATAATGATCATCGGTCAATCCCGAAACTTGGCTAGCCAGTTGAACAAACAAGGTATTGTAATTCTCCAGGACCCAATTTGTTTGACGCCAGACAACCGTTCGAACATGTTCCCCTGAAATCGGGAATCAAATCTGGCCACCAGGGCTTGCTTGAATTCTTCCGAGGTCATGCCGGGTTTGCGTGCTTTCAGCCAGGTTACCCAGTAGAGGGCCCCTCCCATGGCAACCACAGCGGCTGCCACTTTTTTCTCTGGTAGGGTTCCATTTAATTCGAATTGTTGTTCAACACGAGCTATCCACCCGATCGGGTCCTCTCCGTCAAACGTGGGCAGCAAGGTGTGGCCGGTGATGCGCAGCAGGTCGTTGACGATGGGTGCTGTCACGGCAGCCTTTCCGACTGCAGCAGCGGAAATTTCCCGCGAGATCGCTGGCACAAGGGCCTGGGTTAGCGCCGCTAGAGAGGCGGCGATTTCAGCCAGCCGCATGCCGTGTTCTTCCAGGGTGTGATTCGTCTGATTCTGCTCAATCGCCATTCGGGCTTGCTCTTCCCCCAATCAGGCTTGCTGCTCTCCCATTCGGTTTTGCTTGTCTCTACCTCTGTCAATCGATCGCTCTGAGATCTTGTCATCTTGGTGGGATGGGATCCGGCAGGTCAGACCAATTGATGAGAGCAGAAAAATAACAATCAACGGTAAAAACCGTTGCCCAAGCTTGAAGCTCAAAAACCACTTTATTCCAATAATAATCGATAGTTCTAATAACCCTCTTAAGGGGTATAAATAGCCTACTAATTCTAATCAAGGAAGAACTCCTAATTAAATCATACTAGGAAATTTAATTAAAATAGGAAACATAATAAAAGGAAATGACTAGGTAATTAATTCAAGCCAATTAAGTATCCAGCCCATGAAGGTGGGCTCCAGCCCGTCCCCGCCTTCGGTAGACCACCAAGGGCCTCGGGTTCTGCTCTGCCTCAGTCGGTTCCGCCTGCTCTCTATCATAGTAAGTCCGAAATGGAACTGGATAGAATTATATGAGTACTAAGCTTGAAGAGAAAAATGCATCAGTATTATCACTCATATCAGCCTTTCCATTCTTAAAATTCTTAGTGATAAAATGAGAACTTTCAAAATATTTGAGTGCGCAACTACACTCAGTCATTTTCTTGTTGAGTGCACGCCTGCTAAAGGTTAATTCCTAGGAGCAAAATACAGCTCAATGAGGAGATATTTCTACAAAGTTGCTTTGTTCTAAGTGACAATGATTGATATTCTGACTCTACTTAAATGTGGAAAAATACCCTGCGACATCTCCTACGAGATTAAGGTACCATATATAAGAACACAATATCCTGAATCCTGATTCCTGACGGTAGCCTATCCCAAGGAAATACAACCCAATTTGCATTGAGTAACCAACAATTAGTGTACCTCATAATTAAGAGACAGGTAGAATAATCCCACAAGTGCAGAATTCTTCAAATATCTTAAAATCTACATTCCAAGGTCCTAAGAATTGTAACAGGTAGCTAAACACTACTGGGAAGTGAAATATAGGGCCAAATGATTATCAAACATAATAAATTGCCAACAGCTCTTAATCCATTATTTAGGGCCGATTGGCCGAATGATTATTAAGAGTAATATCAATTATTTATTATATGGGGAAGTATGTTGCATACCAGGGTTTTTCATGTCAGACAAATGAATTATAGGATAGACAAGGGGGTAGTAAATTTAGGAAGTTTTCCTTCTCCATTGGTATTTGGGAAGATTTCCATGTTCTTGATTATTTATTGGATACTTATTAGCAAAGCGAAGCTCCCTTTTACATTAGGGATTACATGCATAGAAATACCTAAAACAAGGAAAGGAATAGATTCTAGCAAATCACTTCCTTAAATAGATAAGCATTGATTATATGTCACTCTCCCTCATGTATTTGGTTTATCTTTTATCTTTTAATAACTTCCAAAAAACCTATTAAGGGCAAACTGACCAGTGATCATCTACTAATAGTAACACATTTAAACAACCTACCTAACAGAGCATATGGACTGTTACTCATTTGTTATACACTGTTAGAAGTTTGACCGTATGTAAATTGAGCATGTAACATACATAAAATGTATACATTATATATTTTTATACTTTGGACCTTTTAAATAGTGTCAAACCAGAATGAGGAGCAGAAAAAGAATCTTGCACTCACCAGAAAATGCCTCATTGAAACTGTTGAAATGTAGGGGAGAACAGAAGGCAGGAAAAATATAAAGAGAGGTGAAGAAGCAAAAGTGAAATGAAGAAAGATGAAGGGAAAAAACTTGAGTTACCTGCAAGGCTGCGATTATGCGCACACAAGAGAGGAGCAGAACAATAGAGAGGAGCGGAAGAGTTAAATAATAAAGAGTTTGGAAATTGATGGAGTTTGGGAGTAGCATAAAAAAATTAATATACATATAAAGGCTTGAGCACCTCCTCCTAACAAGTTGATCTTGTAAGATGAAACCCCAAAGTTTCATATGGTGTGAGAGCAAGGGGATCGCCGGAGGTATTCTCACTGATAAGAGCAATATTTGTAGTGATTTTGCTAGAATTTCTTCCTTCCCTTGTTTTAGACATTTATATGCATGTAATCCCTAATATAAAAGGGAGCTTCACTTGCTAGTAATAACCAAAAAAATTATGAAAAATAAAAAACATGGAAATCTCCCCAAATACCAATGGAGAAGGAAAATTTCTTAAATTCCATTACCCCTTCTATCCAATTATTTATCCTTATAATTCATTTATGTGACGCGAAGAATGCCTGCACGTAACATACTCCCCCCATATCATATACATTATCCTACTTCGATTTTTCCAAGTCAAATTCCACAAATACTACTTAAGCCTACATGCTCTTAGTACATACATGATATTGAAACCAATTCCTATGTAGATAATTGTCATTTCCTATAAAAAAGAAAATGACAAAATTGTAGCAAAGTGCATGTTGCCATGGAGGTATGTATATGTTCTTAGCATTTGTTAACTCCAATACCAAAACTTCTTCAACATCTTAGAGTTCACGCGTGGTGAATACAACAACATCCAAGCCTTAGTCCCAAAAGATATTGGGGTCGGCTAACATGAATCGATACATGATATCACCACCAAAAGGAAAAGAAAGGAAATAAAGATAAAAAAGATAAGCTATTATAAAAAGATAATATGAAAAGAGATGAATATACATAAAAATGATAAAATAAAAAGGATACAAATAATGCTTATATATAAGGATAAAAAACAAGGAAAAAAGATGAGGGAAAAAGGTGAATACAATCAAATATTTCTTTATTTCCCATATGCCAGATAATCTCAAAAAACCACCTCAAGCCAGATTTCTGAATTGTCACTCTTAAAGTGTCATCTTCACTGTTTCCTTTTCTTATACTTCCTATTCTTATTTTAACCCTTCAGATCATATCAGGGCAAAAAAGATTCAAACAAAACAAGAAAGATTCAGATATAATGTTTTATGGATTGATCTAGTAGACTTTCTACGTAGGATGAGAAAACCGTACATGTGGTGAATAGCAGGGGAGAAAAGATGAAAAACTAGAAAGGTAGAACAATGATGAGAATATGAGATAGGATATCAATGTGTTTTGATAAAAATTGCTAAATTAGGAAATGTAGAAAATAAAAAATCTTGTCAAAAAGTAATAAAGGGTAAACAATAAAAAATGGAGTATTTCATACGAGAAAATTAGGCAAGATCAGAAACAATCAGACGAAGTCGAAACATTTAGACAAAGTCGAAACATATATATTAGGTTCAGACTGTATGTTATATTTCTATATTTGAAATGAAAGTCACTCATTGTAGTTGGGATTATCACTAATGGAAAATGTGTTCATCATAGTAATTTTATGTGTTAATTTTACTTTCCAGTCTTTAGAAAAAAGTGTTAATTTTAACTTCTAAAAACTGTTATGGAAAACATACAATGTTTCCTGGTTTTTTCGAAAAATAGAAATATTGGAGAATTGTTTTCTTTTCAGTACATCAGAGAACTAGTGAAGCAAACGTGCGATTATGTTTCTAAATTTGAAAATTGAAATTAGTAAACATGTTTTACGTTTTCTGTTTTCAGAAATAAAAACCATCTCTTAGTACACGGCCCCTGAGTTTTTCTCCAAACTGTCAGAATCAGTTATGTGCATTCTGATTACTTACAAGTATATTTGATCAGCATCAATGTCTTGAAATAGATTTATGAAGAACCTAAAGCCATCAGGGCTTACATCTCTGCACACCAATCCTGAAAACAACATAAAGTTTGACTGTTAATGTCCTGTTTATATGAACTGGTATTTCGATTTAGAAACAAATCATTAACCATTCCTATGAAAACATGAATAGCACTTGCTTTCTCAGAAAGGTTAAACACGTAATCTATATTCTTAGACAACACACAGAAGACGATAGGATAAAAATAAGTGCAATATTCAATTCATTCATTTTCATTTACCCCAGTGCCGCAAAGGCTCCCACCTACAGTGGGGTAAGGGGGGGTCGGATGTACGCAGTCTTACCCCTGTATTAAAGCACAAAGAGACTGTTTCCGGATGACCCATAGTGAAAATCCCGTCCAAAATTGCATGGACTGACTGCTGCTTCATAACAAAGAAGCGCAGACAGTTTAGTGAGCCATTTTGCTTTATTCCATCATAATCACAAGCCAAAAAATAATAAATCTTTGGCTCCATTGCAAATGATGGAAAATACTAGAAATCCTAAAATACTAGAAACAATAGAACAATTAAAACATGTTGATTTGTGAATTTTATGATTACAATTACGTATTACTATATGGCAAGCATTTTAACCAGAACAATCGCTTCAGTGTTTTTTGACTAATATGATTATCACTGACAGTCTGACACATGCAAATGATATGACAAAGATATACCTTGTCCCTCAGCAGCAAGAAGATGCTCCTTGGCCATAGCTGGAGCAACTCCCAGGATCATTGCAGCATCACTAGCACTGATCCCAACTCGTAAAGCATCATCCTCACTCGCCAAGGATTTAATTCTAGCAAATACCTGGATGTAGCACTCAGAAATTAGCTGAAAGTAGATATACAAAAGGAAACCAAATCTGTAGGTGATTGCTAAAACATATACTTTCCAAACCATTTGAGGATGTGATCATCATCATCAAAACAAAGTTTGCTAATATACTAATACCTTCTTGGAGAGTTTCAAACTTGTTATCCCTAGAGTTTTTCTCTAAATAGCATAATAATATCCTAGAGTATATTCCTAAATACTCCAAAACATATTCCTACATTCATTCTAATACATTTCACAAAAAGCTTGCAGGGTCTCTTAGAGTGTTTCTCTAAAGCTATTTTCTTGTATCTGTTCCTTTCTTTAATAGGAGGAGGAGGAAGAGAATTGTGTTAAAAAAGAAGCTACAAAATTCACAGAAAGGTAGGCATCTTCATCCCACTTCTCGAACTGCAAAACTTCAACAGCGAAGGCAGAGCACACTCTTCAATAAATTTATAAGGTTAGATATACTATTAGTTTTTGGGCTTATGAAAGACGTGGCATTAGCATGGCAAAATGGTCTCCTACTAGAACAACCTTTCATCAAAGAGGAGCTAAAGAGCTAATTCAATAGAAAAATGTAGTGGAGCTGTGACCGACCAGCTGCATACAACAAGCATATGACACACGAGACACAACAGGAATTAAATTACCGTAAATAGTAAACCTATCATCACACTCCTACAGTCCTACCCTAGAGTAGTCAATCTATCATTCACTTGCTTCCTCTAGAAGACATCTAACAATTTCCTCCTAAAAATTAACTCCCACAAGGCTACTATACAATCCTGAAAATAATTAACCATCAATCACCATATCCATTGTGTTTCCAAATGGCAGATAAAAGCCCTCATCAGCAAACCCAAAGGAGGAGGAGGGGGAGGAGGGGGAGGAGGTCCGTTGTTCACTGATGGCCGAAAATGGAAACAAAATCCATCATCCATGCCTCCAAAAATTGCCAGAGATGAGGGAAATCGAGATCGGACAAATAAAATTGAGTTATTATGGAAGAAAAGAGAAGAGGAGAAAGGGGATTTGGACGTAAAGGTCGATGGTAGCTATGAGAGAGGAGAAAGGAGGAGAGAAAAGAAAAGTCTCGATCTAGACTTGGTAAACAGTTAAACACACAATTGAGAGGAGAGGTAATAGGAACACTAACTAAATTACTCATATTTAGGAAATAAATTAAAGATAACTCCTATTGTGGAATTTGTGGAATTTTCCTAATGTTTTACTCCTATTTAGATTAATTACTTATTTAAATTCGATAGAATAAAAGCTTTCCCAAAACATAACAATACTTAGAACTCGATGTCTTGGTTGCCTAACAACCAAGGTCATGGCTGAAAAGAATACCGTGAGGCCATTTAGCCATGGGTGCCAATTAACAACGCCAAGCGTGTTAAGAAAATAATCAGTTAATGAGTTAATCACACGCCTACTATCAATTAGTCTAGAATGTGTGTCGAGCTGCAGTTATAGCATCAAATGTGGTAAAACATAACCAACCATGCATAATTGCATAGTTTTCATGGATAGAAGCCTCTACTTCCATACTCATCATGTTTAAGATACATGTCAATGATAGTTAATGTACTGTGTTATAAAGATGATATAAGGGTTACATGTAGACTACATAGTGTCTCAAACAAAGGGATCTTTGCACAATACTTTCGATAGATAACACAGGGACATTTGCAGAATTCTTGATGATGCATCAAGAACATAACATCATCTTAGATATAAAATACATACTAAACTTAATATAAGTTACCTGGTTGTCATTGTGGCTCTTGTTCTGGATGACCATAACACCACTCTCAAACTTGCGCAGCAACACAGGGCTGTCACACACATATACAGTCAAATTTTCTCTTATGTTAATTGTTAAATGAAAGATTGACATAAGCAGAAGATAAAATGCATTGTATGAGAGGAGACCATGTAGTATCAAGAAAATGCAAAACCTACACATCGAACTTCTCCCACAAAGAACATGCATGCATCAAGTCATCAGGGGATATCAGTTCTGCAAAATAAAATATTTAAGCAAGAGAAAAGTAAAAAATTAATTTAAAATGAGAAAGATTAAACATTTAAACCCAACTGAAAAATAAAAGAATGTGATTTTACAAAGAAGGTTTACTGCGTGTGTGGGAAGAATGATGAATTATTTTCTCTAAAGCCTATTAGTGGCATCTATGTACACACATGGGCTGCTCCATAAACATATAGATAGAGCACTACATATGACTCCATGAGAGGTGACCTGTTCCACGGGCCCGATTGAAAAGGCAATAAGCATCAATGAGATTAATCATTCCACCTGCTCTGTCAAGGGGAATCCTGATGAAATCTGCCAACTAGAACATAGCACATACGTGAATTCTTGTAACACTTCTAGGCATACTTTTGATAATAGATAAAGGTAGAGCAGCAACTATTGAAATACGTAGTATAAATCTATTTTTCTTGATTCACAATCTCGATAATTTACTTTGCTATGATAGTCAAAACTCAAAACTGCGACTGGAAAAGGAAATCTAACAGACGATTGTCATAAGCCAATAATAAAGCAGTAGCGCCAGTAAGCACCCATGATTTGGTCAAAATTTACTTCCCGCATGGCAAATTCATGCAACTGGTAAAGGTAAAGCAGCAACCACTTAAATACTTTTTTGCTTAATTCACAATTTTGAGGGTTTACTTTGCTATGATACCCGGAACTCAGAGATGGAGACTAGAAAAGGAATGTCAACACACTCATTTCATAAGATAATACTAAAGCACACATGATTTGGTCAAATTTTACTTCCCACATATTTAATCCATGTTACTGATAAAACATTCATACTCTGAACTCCACCGAAACCAACAAACTTCATTTCAAGTTTATGCAATATCTTTATATCACCTGCATTAAAATACCACAAATAAGTGCATAAACAGCAGCAAGAGGGGATTTACCTGTCGTGATAATTGTTGATGATACAAGGCACCAGCAGACTCTTTGGTAACTGGGGAGAGAATACCAACACTAAGTAACCAATCTTGAATCTCTTCCTTTGTACCCATTTCCTCATCATTTGATCCTGCATGACTGTTAGAGCTAGAAAGAAGTGTCATCCTCATCTTCTCAGCTAGCATCACCATCTCTCTAGCTTTACTCTGTGAAATAACTTAAGAGTCATATCTGAATATAGAAATTCAAGGAACCCTACAAATAGGTGAACTTATAACGTGAAACTTTGAGAATCTCTACAAAAACCCCATCATTAAGAGAATCAGAAATCAGCCAAGTATCATTCAGAGAATAATCCATATCAATTAGATTTTATCCTGCTAATACTTGGAATTACACCAGAAGGGAAGGATTGATTATGACCTAGGATGTATGGGTGAAATTCAATAAATAGTTTCCAATAGTTTCCAAACAAAATAAGGAACAATGGGTAAAAGGTTTAGAAGTATGACATGCATAAGAATCATGGACGTTGTGAGGAACTTTTGAACAAAAAAGGTGGGTATTAACACTTGAACTATTAAAACAAACTCAAGTCGGTTGTGCTTGTTTATAAGTATATGGGCTTTTAAACAAAACATGCCTTTTATTGCCTTTATATGTAGTTAATATGTTCTTATTAAAAACATAACACAGGTTATTACGTGATAACTATCAACTGATCATGCATTGCACATATAACAACAACCCTTGCATTTCCTTTTACATACACAAATAAGATGTTACTTACCATGAGGGCGTTCAAATCCTGGAAAGCTTCTTGCATGCTTTTATCAGTACTTTCCCACATTTCTTGCTCTTTTCTCAGTATACCAGCTACACCCACCACCGGCATCTTTACTGCCATGCTCCCCCCGCCCGTACTGGAACCTGAGCCTGAGACAGAAGCACTTGGACCATCCGATCCGGACTTTCCAGCTTCCTCCCAACCCCTACCTCTCCATGCCTCCCAAAACTTTTCCAAAAACGAGTCCACATCTGACTTGCTACGAATTATCAAAGTTATTGCCATCGATTTCGACCCTCTCTCCTCGATTTGTCCTTGCAGGCTGGCTGAAGCCTGAAAACGGATTCTAGGACTAGCAAACATAGCCTTGATGGACTTTTTCATAGGGAAGATGTGTGTGATGGATGCAAGGGGGATAAATACGGCGGAACCGAAGGACGCAGGAACGGTAGAGTCGGGGAGCCAGATAAGGCGGTGGGTTGTGAGGATAAGAAGGCCGGACCTGAGGTGGGGGAAGCTGGGGTTATCTTCCGATAGAAGGTCAATCAATGAGAGGATATAGCACTCAACTTCACCGCTGAGTATCACAGGTCGGCCACTTTCGGTGATTTGTGCCGGCGGTAGCCAATTACCGGCCATGCCGTTGCGCTTACTGCTGTGTCAATTACCGGCCATGCCAATTAGCCAGGGGAGTCAAGCTAATGGAAATTTTTGTGGCTTAAACCAGAAAATGTTCACGATGACAGTGGACTAGTGGAGAACAGAATCAAAATAGAGTAATAGACCCACCTTCTTCTACTATTCTCAAACTTATAATGTGATATATATCTCCACTTCCAACATTGTATAAAGATCTCCTACTTTATAAAATTGAGATATTTATACCCCATGTTTTACTAAATCATCTAAGAAAGCACGCATTTTTTTTGGGAATCACGCATTTTTTTGGCAACTAAATCTATTTAACAAGTTTTAATTTGAGAAATATTATTTGTTAATTAAAATATGGTGCATATGTGAGTTGTTTCTCTCGTGCATGCGAGCCTTTCTTCTTAATTTAATGGCTAAATTTTGACAGCTTCCTACGCATCAGCTGGGAGCATGCTGTCGATTGGGAACTCTGGAACTTGAGGGTGATGGATTTATGCTTGTAGGGAAAGGGGCAGGCTTGGTTCTTGGCTTACAAAGACGAAATTATGGGCGGCGGCGATGCAATCTTTCAACTGGTTTTGGTTGGCATCTTTCTCATGGAAGAGCCCTGTCGCGCCTATATGGCGAAGATCGCGAACAAGGCCAGGGCAGGCGGGTCGCGGCTAGATGGTATGAGGTAGACCTAAAGCAAGAAAGTTTGGAAAAGTTGATGAGATCAGAACTGAGGATGACGAAGTGGTGCTCAATGAGGAGGACGCTGCATACTGCATGGAGCATGCATTTCTGGGGGCTCGTCCCCCATCCCGAGCCGCCGCCAGCAGGCTCGGGACTGACTATGTTTGGTATTTTTGTCCTTGAAGACGGAGCAGTTTTTTTTCGTTATGTTAGTTTTTATGGTGTTGAGTACTCTGTTTACTTTCAGCTTTTTATTTTTTTGCATTGTAGGACTATGAGCTTGGATTTGGGTGACAGGGGGTTTGTGTTAACCGTATTTGGCTCAGTTGCACCCATTAATAGATCAGCGAGTTATATTGCTTCTTTAGAGGTGATTAACTCTGAGTCTGATTCGAGGTTCGGCGGTTGCCAACGGTCTTTTTGTCTTTTTAACCCATATCTGCATGTTGTTGTATCAATATAAGCCACTTTCCATCAAAAAAAAATTAAAATATGGTACTAAAGATTTAAATCAATAAAGTTGGGGTACTTTTTAAAGTTATATGACCAAAATGAATATTATGGATACAAATATGTATTTTCATACTTTAATGACTATAATTGTAATTTTAATGTGCATGATTGTGATCAATTTTATATTATAGTAATCATGAATGGTATACTCATTTTAACTTTAGTCATATTTTAGTTTAGTATGCACTAATATTTAAAGAAAGCCCTCATATTTCAATAAACCTCATGTATTTAGTATTTAGTGGTTGACCCAAAAGAGATAAAATGACACTCACGCACAAGAGAAACTACCAGTAGCGTAACAAAACTAATTTTATTATGAGATAATTTAATTCATTTCTTCTTATTTATTTCATGAATGGAGAAAAACCATTTTATATATGATCAATTATTTCATTCATTTTGTGTTGTAGTGTAAAAAAACATTTATTTTCATCCATTTTTGCATCAAATATTTTTTCTAATATGTTTATTTAAAGCATTCAAATTTTTGAAAAAAATAATTCCTCTGTTTCTTAAAAGTTGCAACATTATGATTTTTTCATTATTCACACACCTTACTTTGACCATGATTTTCTACTAATATTTATAATCAAATTATTATGTATAAATGTTTTAAAATTTCTATTCATGTGAATTTTCAAAATATTAACTTTTTATAATTTTTGCTAATACGTAATTAAATATAATTACGGTCAAAGTTGTGTGCCGGCAAACGTGTAAGTCAAACTGTTGCAACTATTTAAGAACAGAGGATAGTAGGTTTTAAAAATTTATATGGTCGGTTATTGTCGGTTATTCGGTTACTGTCCGAAACCGAACTACGGTTTTTAGTCGGTTATTGTGATATTACCCGTCGGTTTCGGTCGGTTATTAGAGTGGGAAAAAATTGGTCAGTTATTCGGTTATCGATCGGTTATTTGACTGGCAGACCGAATGCTCACCCCTATAGAAAAGGCATATAGTTATCAGTATTTCTTCGTATAATAGCCATAAATTCTGGAAACTTCTAAATTAAAGTTGGGGAATGTGTATTTATTCTAAAGGCTCACAATGATTGGGAACACTCTAGGTAATGAACTCTCATTCTTGGAGGATTTTACAGTATAGTAACATGCCACACATGAAGGTTGCTCTTGGGTCTACCACAACAAAATGGTGAATAGGGTGCATATCATATACTTAGCATATTATAATGCATTGTTGAGAATGTAATTATATATGCGCAATAGAGAAAATATATATTGATTTAGAATTAAGTTTATTGACGGAACATGGTCACAATGAGCCCTTTTACCCCCATATGAGCTTCAGATTTTTTAAAATTTTATATATCCAATACTAATGTCATATGAAAGATTGTAAAATGGTATGAAATTTGGTATATTTTTTAAAATATTGGGGCAAAATTGTAAAAGATATAGCACCTTAAAGAAAAAGAAGTTTTTTTTACTTAGGTCCCACCCCATCTCTCCCTCTTGTGCAATGGCTGTTTCTCCTTTCCCTAATTTAGAGGTAAGTCGTCATTTCATTTGGCGACTCTTCTAATAGTTTATTCCAACCGTATTTTCGTAAATAGTTTTAACTTCACCCTAATTTTATAAATACTTTTTTTAGCATTAATGTGGAAAAAACTCCCAAGCGTGTACCGCCATGCTAAAAATAATTGCTAATAGCGTAGACGCTACTTGCTCCCCTTAGAGCACACACATTAGCATCACGAGTCAACTTAGGAAGATGGTCGCAGAAGTCCAACAATTCCCCAAACATCTATCACCACATATGAATGTAGTAACTTCAACACATGAGATTTGAATCCATGACCTAACTGTGATAACATATGTGCTACTTGCTCTCCTTATAAGCACGTAGACTAACGTCACAAGTGGATTTAAGAAGATGCTATCTAAAGTGACTTACAACAAATTTAAAACGATTCCAAATATAAAAACACCATAATATGAGATATTGAGATAGTTTTTTATCTAACCCTCGCCCCAACGGTCGTACTAGCAGTTGCCGTCTATTATGCTCCAACTAGACTTTGGGTTCCAACATATAAGAAAAAGAAAAAATTAACTAGTCATTGGAATTGGATCGCCTGCTTCTGGTCTTAAAACAACACAACTCATTACTTAATCAGTTTGAATAAAATCGAACTAAAAAGACCAACAAATAAAAAACGGTGGATTTGCATGACTGCACTATTCTTCATTACTTGCTGTATTTTACCGATTTGCAGGGCCGTTTTAGTGTGTTTAATAGGTCATCTGGAATAGGGACCATCAAAATTTGGGGCCCCAATTTTTTATTACGAGTATTATAATATAGTTATATTAATTATACTACTTTTGTCCTGAAAAGATTCACCGTATTGACTATTCTTGATCAATGATAGCAAACATTGGACAATGATATTCATTATTGTATTTGTATATAATTTATAAATTTTGAATAAGGAACATTTTGATATAATTTTTACATTCAAAATAATTTTGTATTAAAAAATATCATTGTTAAAAGTTGATTGTCATTGATCAAGAATAGTCAATTTTACGTACCTTTTTCGGGATAGAGGGAGTGTATAATATTAATACATAGTTATTTTAAATTATGTCTTTTTTCTATATGAACACTTGAACACAATTAATTTGGTTGAACTATGTGAATTTGCTATTATATGTTATATTATTTTTATTCATATATGAGGCCTCAATTTTGCATTTGGAACCAAGGCCTCTAAATGCATTAGATGGCCCTGCCGACTTGTATTATTATATAATATAACACTACTATGTAATTCTAATAATTTTTAAAAGATTGGGGCACCTTTAATTGGTGGACTGATCGGGCTAAACTTGCAAGTGTACAAGTGCCGATATAGTAATAAATTCCGGTAAAATACCGGGTCGAATCCACAAGGAAACGTTGTTTAATTCAAGTCCGAGAGTAGATAGCTTTAAATGAAGAAATGAGTAAAGTCCGAGAGTAGATAAACTGTGGATCCTATGGCTTCTCACAGTCTATAACTTATGAAAATAGGCCACAATATTGTGTTTCATGTATGCATCTTGGGCATTTTGAACATAAATGCTCTAAAGGGGTATCTGCTCATCAGCCCAATGCTGTGATCCCAGCTAGGGTTGACACCCAACCTAAAATCAGCTTTCAAAAGAAAGATGGATTCAAAAACCCATACAGGATCAAAATGAGGCCCCAAGGAAATTTACTACACAAGAGAGAGGGAAAGCTAAAGTTGATGAACAAATTATTACAAATACTTCAAAGGCCATTGTATTACATCATTCTGAAAAGCAGTCTTCATCCAACAATGTTATATGTCCTTTTGTGGAGCCTGGCAGTGATGATGAAGTTGATGAGGAGCTCATCATGGAAGATCCCCCTACATTAGCCATCAAGATACAGAGTCAAGGGATAGAAATACAAAATGACATGGCTGATCAAGGGGAGAATACAGTTACTGAAAATGAAATGGTAGAGCAAGGGGAATATACAGCTACTGCAACAGATAATGATCAGGTTAAAGATGATTTGAATATGCAGGAGCTTTATAAACTACCAAATTTTGATCAAGATCTAGTTAATAAAGCATATTACTCTGATGGTGAGAAGAGAAAAAATATCTTTCGTTAGAATCTCAAAGAAAACTAGGATGAAATTAAATCATAAGCAGAGATTCTAATCAAGCAAAATCAGCCAGAAAAAGCACAAGATGACCTCAACTCTGACCCATTAGGTACTTACACTAATGGGACTGGAAATGCAGTTATGGCAACAGGAGATGGGCAAACATGCATAGAAGATCACAGAAACCAAATTGGAGAAGCATCCCAAAACCCCATGCCTGAAAATGAAGAACAGGGTACACAAACTGTTAATTCTGAGGATGAGGCAGGAGATTTTATTGAAGTGAGTAGAAAAAATAAAAAAAAAGAAGCAAAAAGATACTGAAGCTCAACCAAGAAGACTTACTAGAAGTGTATCTAGAGAGGTTGTTGATATACCCTCCAAATGAATTGGCTAATATGGAACTCTAGGGGTCTAGAGTCCTCCAGCTCTAGACTACATTCCCTAGTCACTCAATGGAGACTGAGTTTGGTTGTTGTTATTGAACCTATGGTCCATGATAATAGGGCTGATCACTTTAAGAATATGCTGGGTTTTTTCTGATGTTCTTCTATCCCATATTAATAAAATATGGGTTTTCTAGGATACATCCTATATGGATATATCTCAGGTTGTCTGGCACCCTCAGTACACTCATTTCAAGATTGACAGTCAGTTGTTTCAGGGTTGTTTTACAGCAGTTTATGGCTTACATACATATATGGCTAGAAGGGGCCTTTGGGAGGGGCTGGTTGATATATCCAACTATATGGTGCTACCTTGGGTGTTGGGAGGTGATTTCAATGCTATAGCCAATTATAATGAACACAAGGGAAATTCTACCCCTATCATCAAGGACATTAATGACTTCAATGAGTGCATGGCTTCTAGTAACTTGATTGATTTGCCTCATAATGGGCCAAAATATACTTGGGCAGGGGTTAGAGCTAATGGTTGGGTTTGGAGAAGACTGGACAGATGCTTACTAAATTCTGAATTCCTGGATAATTTTGAAAATATTCAGATTACTTTACTGCCTAAATCCCCTTCAGATCATAATCCAATGCTTCTTCAGTTTGACAAGAGCTCCTATAATGGCCCTAAACCTTTTAGATTTCAAAACATCTGGGTGGCACACTCTGGATTTATGGATTTTGTG